TCCCTCTCATTGTCTCTCTCAGGTGACATAGTTACTTAGGGGCAGTCTCGGGGCAAAGGAGGAGGGCCGGTGATGGTCCTGAGAAGGAGCGCTGCCAGGGGTGGAGGGGCAGGAAACGGGGGACACAAGTGGGCAGGTGGCTGGGGAGGGGGTTGGGAGGAACAAGGCTGGGGACCCAAGGGCTGGGCCTTGGGGGGCAGGAGAAGGCCAACCACGCCCTCCTCCCTGGCTGCGGTTACTTTGCCGATGTTGATCCGGAGTTTGTTCCGGTTGACATCTGTCTCTTCCCAGACTTCAGCCTCAGGACCCCCAGGGTGGGGGGCCAGGTGGGGGCTGGGGCCCAGCCCCTCCGGGGGCCTCCCAGGCAGGGGCGGAGGTGCGTTCTCCTGGTCACTCAGGTGCTCGCCCTGCAGCACGTCCTCGGTGTTCTCTCGGAGCAGGTCCCCAGGCACCGGTGTCACATTGACCACTCTGGAGAGGCCAGGAGGGGGCCATGGGCAAGGCCGGCAGGGACCCTCTCTTCCCGACACCCCCCCACCATGGCAGCGGGCACAGAGGAGGCCCCAGCAGAGTTGGAAGTGTCTCTAGGGCCCCCACCAGCCCTGGCCCACAGAGCCTCTGAGACCAGACCACCCGCAGGTTGGCAGGCGGTGGCAAGGAGACAGGCGTCCGGGGCTGGGTCGTCACCCGTGTGCTCTCCTGACTGCAGAAGCCCTGCCGGGTGGGTTTCCGCTGCATTCTCAGGCAGGAGCTGGCCTGAGGAGAAGCGCCTCGCCAGGGCTGCTGGGTCTCCCTCCCACATGGTCCCTGCAGCCCCGCCTGCTTCTCTCCTTGGCTCTTCCCTGGGGCTGAGGGGCCTTCCCTTGCTCCAGCCCCTTCCTGGGCCCCCTCTGCCTTGTGCCTGTCACGTGATTCTGAGATTGCCAACCCCCTGATTACAAACATCCCAGACTCCGCTGAGAGCCCTCTGAGGGCAGGGCCTATAACTTTTTCCTCCGTGCCCCCACCCCATAGTGTCCAGGGGTGCAGCCTCATTAAGTTAATGCTCATATGAGCAATGAGAGAGAGACAAAGTATGAGAGCCCCCTGTCCCCTGGGGGCCTGCTACAGCTCCAAATGAGGAGGGCACCGCCCTGCTCAGATTCAGGGTGGGGATATGGATGTTCCACAACGCCCCTGTGGACACCCCAAAGAGCAGGGGCAGCCCAGTGTGACCAGGGAGGAAGCGGAAGAGAGGCCTGCCTTCTAGGGGAAGGCCGCTGCTCCACCGTCCACTGCCACTCCCGAGACTCACCCGAACATGGCTGCTGTCTGCCGGGTGTTCTGCTGGGGCGGGGTGGAGGTGCTCGTGGACAGGAGGGCGTCAGTGCCTGCCTTCTCCCAGTCAAAGGCCTCGTTCTCGGCGATGCCCCGCTCCTTCATGCTGTTCTCAAACACCGACATGATCAACTGCAGGGGGTGGGGGTGGTGGGAGGACAGAGAGGTGACCCGGGGGGCTAGCCAGGAGGAAGGGGCAGTTGCTGGGGTTGCAGGGGGAAGAGAGGGACCTTCCAGGACAGGGAGGGGCCTAGAGGGGATGCTGGGGTGTTGGAAGGAGAAGGGCACATTGATTCGAAATGAAAACATGCACATGATATGAAAATCAGCATGCAAATTATCAATCTGGATGAAGCGCAACAAGCTGGACACAAGCCCTCTGATATCTGTGCCCCGGCCACCAGCCCACCCTGCCATGTCCACCATCTCAGCAGCCTCGGCACAGGCCGCACCTCCACTTGTGCCTCTCCCGCCTTCCTCTCCTCTCTTACGCCAGCCTGACCCACACAGCTTCCCCTCTGCGCACCCACCCCCGCCGGGCACACACACGGCTTTGAACTGTTCACAGGCCTGTCCGCAACTCGGCAGTCCTAGCTGTCCACAGACGGCCCAGCATGGGGCAGTGCTCTAGCTATGTGATCTGGGGGCCCCACGAGGCTGAGCCAGGATCAGGTGCACCCCTGCCAGCACCTGGGGCTCTGGTT